TAGGGCTGATAAATCACTGTGGATCTTAAACTGCTTAAACTCAGTTTTTACTAAATACTGTAGATGTTTTCACACCAAGAAGTGATCATTGAAACAGATTTCTGTTAACACTACTTTTCTTAAATGCCTTATTACATGCCTAAATCTTAAAAATTAAATGTAGACTAGGAGAGGCAGTAGAGGATCAGTGAAAAAATGAAGCAGATTTTAGGATGTGGTCCAGAATATAGGACATGTTGTCTCAATCATCCTCCCCTCATTTTGCTCATATTTTCCTTCTTCCAGTCATCTCTCCTCAACCTCCTTGAAGCATTTTTGGTTTGTCCAATTTCCAAACAGTCGAGATGCTTTTTGACATTGAACAAAGAAGCTTTGACATATGTCATCCTAACATGTTTAGTCAATCTGCTTGGAATTTCAGCAGATGAATTTTTATAACATCTGAAACTGACTTATTTGAGCTTTAGATGTTGGATGTTTAGATCTCGTCATTACATCATAGTTTTGATTCATCTGCTCTTCATGTCTTTGAAACCAGATTTAGTTTTGAAGTCTTGGTTAAAATAAAAAGTCGGACTATGATGGAACAGTTAACCTTGGAGAAATATAAAGAGTAAAATTTCAAATAATTTTACTAGAAAACTTTGTTACAAAACAAATGGATATTACAGTAAAACAACCATTTTTAATAGGGGTGTCCTGATAGCAGTTTTTCTCAAACTGAGTTAGAGTACTTCAGTTTGAGTACTCGCTGTTACCAAGTACTTATTGAGTTAAAACTTAAACATAACATGATTATTATAAAAAACACATTTTATTTAGAACCTAGTATTAAATCATATTCATATCTGCTTTTCAAAGTGACTTCGGTAGGATCGCTCATGTCTCATTTCAAGTTTTACCTCAGTAAGGTGGGGTGAGCGGATTGAACACCTGAAATTGGCCTCTGTCTCTTTAAGAACCTCCTACCGCTTCTGTCCTGCTCATTTCAGCACATCATCACAACAGCTTCATTCCATTAACAACCCTGTAATGTTGTAGCCTTTTTTGTTGAAATAAATCTAACGATTATTTTGATTAATTGATTATTCTAACAACAAATCTATGTTATTCTGATGTGAGTGCACTGGAAATTTAAAATGTTTTCATCAAATTAACAAGAACAGTTCTTTAATATTGTAATATTTTCTTTAATAGTTTTTTCATGGACACAAAATATGCGCTCTAGAGCCTATTCTTTTACAAAAAAAGCTTAAAGGATGTAACAACATAAAATCTCAACCAAAGCATATAAAATTCAAGTAAAAGAAATATAGTGAAAGATGTTAACAATCTAACAAATGAACTAAATCATGCAAAATTCAAGTCACTCTGGAAAAAATATAATAAACATTTATTTATTATTTAACATATTTCTCAATATATAAAATTTAACAAATATCAAGACAACATCCAACTCTTTGTATTGTAACATCAGCTTTTTAACTAATATCTTTATGGTGAAAACTGTTGAAAACAACAAGACTGTTTTGTCTTATTACACAAATTAAAATCCAGCTCCACGTGTTTCTATTGATGTCATTTCCCCACTAGAAAAATGTGTGATGGAGGTCCATGGAAGGCAAATAAGTTTAAATCAAATAAACAAAAGAGGATGCAGTTAAAATTAATAAAAGTTATTTAAGCTACGTTTTGAACATCCAAAACACGTCCAACACTTGTTGGCTGCTTGTGCTCTTTAGGTCAGACGTGTGTCGGGAAGCTCCTCTGTTGTTTGAGACGCTGGGGGAACCGTCTGATGGGAGAACCGTCTGATGGGGGAACCGTCTGATGGGGGAACGTGGCTCGACCTAACACTAGTCTCTGTTTAATGGTGGATGCAATAAAAAAAAGTGGTGGTACTTTATTTACTTTGAGCAAGCAAACGTCGTGCTCACAAGATAATTAATCCAGCAGATAATTCAGAGGTGGTCTGTTCAGTAAATTTTACTCCAGGAGCTGCGAGGCTTGTTTTCAAGCTTCAGACTGAACTGAAGCAGCGGCTGCTGACGTCATTACGCTCTTGCGTGATGCTGCGTTCAGGACAAGCATGGAAAACTCACTACTTTCATGCCATTACGGTCGCAATGATGCATTCAGGTACCGAAATGGAATTGCATGAACATTCACGTGGTGGTTATGTAATACAGTGAATCGATAATAAAAAATCTGCGTCGACAAATTTACATAATCAACGTCATCGATTATTTCAACTAATTGGTGCAGCCCTAATGTCTATGTAATATTACAATTTTCTGAGACAGTGAATTTTGGTCTTTCTTTTTTTTTCCGGTAAGAGGTTTTTATTTAATAGAATTTTTGGACAAAAAAATAGCAATATATCACCTTGCTTACAGTATTGCAATATATCGGGATATATCGTATCGCCAAATTCTTGCCAATACACAGCTCTATTTTCTCCTGAATGCCTCAGGACAGTACAGGATTTCTCAAATATGAATGAATGAGTCATAGCAATACTCTGTATGTTTTTGATGACGGGATAACACTAACAATAAATAAAGCTAAAAAAGATGATTTTACATGATTTTGCCCCTTTAAAATAAAATGTCTGTGTAAAATTGGTATCAGTTCAGAGACTGGACTGGAGACTCAACAGTGAAGCGGTCTACAAGAAAGGACAGAGCAGACCTTATGGAAACTGAGATCCTTCAATGTCTGCAGCAAGATGCTGCAGATCTTCTACAAGTTGTTGAGAGCGTCATCTCTTCTGCCATCATCTGTTGGGGTCGCTACATCAGAGCCAGGGACATAAAAAGGCTAAACAACCTGATAAAGAAGGCTGGTTCTGTTCTGAAGGTGACTGTGGAATCTCTGGAGATGATGGTGCAAAGAAGGATTTTACATAAAATCAAGAACATTGTGGACAACCCTGACCATCCTCTTCATCAGACTGTCATAGAAAGACAAAGTGTCTTCAGTCGGAAGCTTCTTCAACTTCGCTGTAATACAGACGCTACAGAAGATCTTTCCTGCCCACAGCCATCAGCATCTACAATAAGTTTTTAGTTAAATGAGATACAACACCTAATTTCCCTCTGGGATCAATAAAGTATTTTTGAATTTGAATTGAATTGAATTTGAGTATTGGGGCATTTTGAAAGAGTACAAGTACTGGTAAAAAGGCTGGTATCTGTGAAGCCCCATAAACTTGTGGTTCAGAGTTCACTGCCTCGGTCATTTGCAGATTTCTTCTTACAACTTATTTTGGGGGTGCGGGGTGGGATGGCGTGGCAAAATGTTATATTTCAGCTGAGGAGCTGTAAATCCTCTTCTTTGCTGTACAGTCATCTCCATCAGATGCCCTCATTGTACTGCAGAGCTAATTCATCACCAGTTCAGTTTGCGTTCACCACTCCCTAGAATATTTATTTCCACTGTCTTCACATTGAGCAAAAAAAAGGAGGGGCTCAAGCCATTGATAGGGAAAATACGGGGACTTTTAATCTTCAACTGTTCTGTGCTTCAAAAAGAACACAACCATGCCGTTCTGATTATTATTTTTCACCACATCCAAAGAATAATTTGTGTTCTAAGAACATAACCCTCACAAATCTCAAGAGTTGTACTGTATATACATGTAGGAAAAGATATGTTAACAAAAATTTATTAGTAGTGTATTTAAGGTCATTTTGTAGTACACAGATATATGAACTTTGACAACTACACAATTACTGTTACTGATTCTACACGTTTAGGTTTAGGCACTATTCCCTTTACAATTTTTACGTCTTTCACAGAAATCGCATGTTAGCATGTTATTTATTCTTCCAACCTTAATACAGCCTGATTGTTTGTGTATAACGTTATTAAAAACAGGAAGTCGAACAGGAGGAAGGAAAAAGTAACGAGTTGTTCAGACCAAATACACTATGTGCCAAGTAGGACTCACTATAAATGGAAAAATTGTCATCACAATGTTAGTGAAGACATTGCAAGGGACTGTTTGGACTGCAGCAGATCATTTTTGCACATATCGTGCAGTAGAAATGAATGGATTAAATTTCAGGCCAAAAGAAAAAGATACTGGAATTTGTCCATCTGTAGCAATTTCTTTCCCTGTACTCTACAAAATATTCGTTTTCAAATTTTCACATAGTTTTCGTATATCACTCATTGTTCAGTTTGGAAATATTTTGAAAGATAGACTAAGCTAATTGAATCCTTTACAGCCAAGACGATCAAAGGAACTCTAAAAGTCCAAAGACTGATGGAGTTAAAGAATTTGTAAAAATAAAAAAAAGCTTTTATTTTGTGTACTGTTCTTTAACTTTGTAAAAATTATCACTGAAAATGTTTTCCCCTCAGTTGAATGCTATTTTGTTTTCAGGCTGTATTGCTTTATCAGTTGCTTTTTGCCCAAAAAATGAATCCCAAGTCCAACTGAACGGGTTGGATGACCGTGTGGATGGTCTAGATTATATTTTTGGCCTTATAGTCTGAGCAGTTTTTGTTTTGTTTAATGCAGAGGTGCCCAAAGTGGGGCCCTCGAAAACTGCCCCGACAAGCCATTTGATTTGGCCCACCAGCAGTTGTTCTGGTTATTAGATTGTAATTATGTTAAGATTAAATAAAAAATACAGGTAACTACATTTAGATTAGATTTAAGTCCATATCTAGATTTGCACACCTCGTAAGACCACATATACTCAAATTTTAAATTATGAAAAGTCCCATGAGCCTTTGCATCCCATGCGTACATTTAATTTTCTCCATGTTTATAGGCTGAAAAATAAAAAAAAAGAATGTGGGCAATCGAATTTGCTGCTAGCTTAATCATAAAAAAAAAAAAAAAATTTTTACTTAAGAAGTATTTGCATTTCTTTAGTTGCTGCATTTGGCCCGCGGCCCTCAGATTGATTTTAATTTTGGCCCTCGCAGGTAAAATGTTTGGGCACCCCTGGTTTAATGTCTGTTTCTGTGTTTTGTGCCTCTTTTAGGTACGGGAGAAAGTGGCAAAAGCACCTTCATCAAACAAATGAGGATCATTCATGGTGCTGGTTACTCAGATGAAGATAAGAGGGGCTTCATTCGTCTTGTTTACCAAAACATCTTCACCTCCATGCAGGCCATGATCCGTGCCATGGAGACCCTCAAGATCCCGTTCAAATATGAACAAAACCGCGTAAGTTCTGACCCCTGTAAATGGGTGTGTTATCGTTCTCTGTTGCATCTTGTTTCCTGTATACTGTATGGTACAGTATTGTGTCGCCATTAATGTAAAAATGTCCTGTATGCAACATCATAAATGTTTTGAGTTGTGCAGAAAATGTTTGTTTTATTGAGAAAAAGTAGCAGTAATACTGTTTAAAATTATGTAAACCCTCTTGCTGATCTTGGGTCAAAATGTTTTTTTATTTTTTTGAGGGTTTAGTTTTATAACTGAGATCTCAGTTTGTTTGTTGCCCTTTTTTACTCTAATATTTAAAATGATAAAAGTACCACTGTGTAAAGACTAGACATCTCAACATCGAGAAAGACTCAACAGAAAGTTTTTTTTTTTAAGTATTGAATTTTCTTATGTAAGAATCCTTTAATTCATTTCATAAGTTTACTGTTACTTCTAACATGTTATGTAACATAATCTAACTGAAATGATGTCAGCCTAAAACTTGTCAATATCTTGTTTAAACTGACAAACGAACTTTACCAACTAAAACTAACTTACAAAGAGTTTGCATCACAACTCTGTATTTTTGAATTAACATTTATCTTCTGTGATAAATTGGCACTAAGTGTCAGAAGTGACAGAATTGGACATTTGAACACAATTGCCAGAATAGCTACTTTTAATTCACCATTTTTGAAGCTACACTGTGTAGATAAATGTTTTGTTTTAAGTAAGTTTAAGTATGTGCCAGATATTTTTCGTAAAATATCTGGCACACAAATTTATTCTCAAGTTTATCTAACAAAAAACAATTTAATATTTTAAGGATCTTAAATATTTTAGGATTGACTGCTTAATCAGTGAGGACAGATCTCTGTTGGTCTGTCAGTCTACAGCAATAGAGAAGGAAAGATAAACAGTCCATTTCAGGTTTACTGGATGCATTTTGGATCTTTCTGTTTTTCCTCTTGATTTATTTGTCGTCTTTCATACCAGTTGTATTTTTTATTTATATCTTTCTTTTTTTTTTCATGTGTGGTTCCAGGCCAATGCCATGCTTGTGAAGGAGGTGGATATTGAGAAGATCAATGGGTTTGACCAGCACTATGTTGTAGCTATTAAAAGCCTGTGGGCTGACCCGGGCATCCAGGAGTCCTACGACCGTCGCAGAGAGTACCAGCTCTCTGACTCAACTAAATAGTATGTCTGTCCATTTTTATTTAATTTTAATCTCTTAGGGACCGTGGGTATGATGTCTGATCAAGATTTGAGAATAGTATTTATGGTCTGTGGGTGTATTTTTTATTTATTTATTTACTTTTGTTACTTGCTGGTTTGGAAACTTCAGTTTATCACTTGTAATTCTTAAACGTGACTTGTGTAAAACTCAAAAAATTGCAATAACATTGCTACAGATTTCTTTTTAAAAATGAATTTATATTCTTCAAATAAAACTCATTGATAGCTAGTGATTAAAAAAAGGTTTGTTTTCAAACCTGTATCCTATTATTTGATGACCATGTTTAAATAAAGGGGAATATTTATGGCAAGAACACATTTTAAATATTATCGCCTGCTGCCATGATTGCATGCGTTGGTCTTTTTAGCAAATTATGTCGTGAATGACGTAATCATTGGACGTGTCTACAGCTGATTGCTTTCTTGAGTCAAACCAATTCAAGATAGCTGACAAGACTAATCAACCATAGCATGAACAAAAATGGCCACAGCCCAGTTTATTTTACAGATATTAAGAAAATAGTTGTTGTGGAAGTAACTGAGACTCTCCTCTCACAAACTGAGTTCAGTAGATCATGGCATACAAGTTGGTTGGCGAGTATGGATTTCTTCAAGGAACATCAGTTTCAATTACTGTATTTATTCATGTACAATACTAGAAATTTAACCCTAAAAATCATCCATAAAGTGTGTGTGTTGGGGGGGGGGAGTAGTGTACACAGGTTATTGATAATTAGATTTTTAATGCTTTTTAAGCTAAAAAAAAGATCGTATTTTACTTGAGATCGTATTATACATGAATAAATACGGTAGTTAAATATGCAAGTGAAATCTGAGGAGTTAGTTCCCCAAAATGGAAAAAAAAAATAGATTTTACTTCTTTCTTCTTGAGTTTCATTTGTGGCTGAATTTTTGTCACTGAGGGTAAGATGTAAATAGTCAGGCTAATTAAGGTGTGTTTAGATCTGCAGTTGTTGGCAACTTGTCTGTGCACATCCAAGTGTGTATTAATCTGTGTACAATTCCAGTGTTGGTTTTGTAATAGATGCTGGGTGGAGTAGCACAGGAGCCTCTTAGCCATTACCAGGTGTGATTAAATTTCACAACAAAAGTTTTGAAGCATGACAGCACTTGTGTACGATTACAGTTTAATTAATTGGTAATTAACTACTCTTTAGATGTTTAGCGTGCCATTGAGGCATATTACAGCAAAAAGATATGTGTGGTATTCCAAGAGTTTACAATGATTCAAACAGCTACTGTACAACTTAAACATGAGGACACGATCATGCTTGTCATGTTTTTTCTTATCTTAATCTCTAGGCAGGCTGCTATCTGTGTGAGCATCCGCTAGTAATTAGAAAAGATTTACTACTTTGCTTTTTGACAATGTTTATGCAAAAAGTGTGGTTTTCAAACTTGTGGTTGGGACTGCAATGTGGATTTAAAAAACACATCTCAAATCAAATTAAATTTAGAAAATTACTGCTGAGAGCATGTTTCTGCCATAATTGTCCCAAATATTTGAAAACAGTATTAATGAAAGGGTAAAACGGTGTATTAGCTGTACTCGATAATCTACTTTTTAACTGTTCGTCTACATCAGCCAAGGATTTTTTTGTAAGTTTGAATTGTTTGAGAAACTCTGAATGAAAACCTACTTTATTTAAAATTTTCCTTTATGTAAAAAAAAATTTTAGTTACAGTATTCGCTTTAAGTTAAAATTAAATTGTGCCCTCAAGCCATACAGCCAAACCCTATTGAGTCATTTTATAGTGTCCTCTGGTGGTGGTTTTCCTGTACTACAAATACATAATGCCTTAAATTTGCAAGCGTGTATGTACGTGCAATGTTACATCTGTGTATTTTCTGTGTGTGTATTTGTATTTGATACCTTTTTAGGACTGTTTCTGATATTTACACATACCTTGTCAAAACCAGTAGTCCTCCTTATATGGTAAAACTCCAGTTTTGGGTTGGGGTTAGGTTTAGGACTAAGGTGTGAATTGAGTTCAGATTAGGTTTAGAGTCAGGTGTACTT